ATAGTACCGTATCTTTGAAAGGATGCCTACTGTTTTGGAGACTTTCTTGGAAATTTGCTGTATGTGTGTCTGAAATTTGAGACTGCAGTCAAGGTGGAAACCTAGAAATTTGCCCTCTGCCTGTCTTGAACTAGATGAACCATTTATCAATATGTTTTGCTGTACATTTGAAGCTCTGTTTCCAAAAAGCATGAAGTAGGTTTTGTCTATATTGAGAGTAAGTTTGTTGGTAATCATCCAAGTAGATATTTTTAGCAGTTCAGCATTTAAATTATAGGGGGATAAGTCTGTTGATATTGGCAGTTTGGAGGGATATGTTGTGTATCTTTATACGTATATGCTTCTAAACTGTTGTATTCTGAGCACCTCTGCAAAAGCAGTGATAATGTGTGAGTGTGGTGAAAGTGTTGAATGATGATGAAAGTATTTTCTTTTTGGGGATTTTCTTTCTTTTTTGGGTCACCCTGCCTCGGTGGGAGACGGCCGACTTGTTGGAAAAAAAAAAAAAAGTCTGTTGAGTATACCTGGTAAAGTGTATGGTAGAGTTATTATTGAAAGAATTAAGAGTAAGATGGAGAAGAGGATAGCAGATGAACAAGGAGGCTTTAGGAAAGGTAGGGGGTGTGTGGACCAGGTGTTTACAGTGAAACATATAAGTGAACAGTATTTAGATAAGGCTAAAGAGGTCTTCGTGGCATTTATGGATTTGGAAAAGGCGTATGACAGGGTGGATAGGGGGGCAATGTGACAGATGTTGCAGGTGTATGGTGTAGGAGGTAGGTTACTGAAAGCAGTGAAGAGTTTTTACGAGGATAGTGAGGCTCAAGTTAGAGTATGTAGGAAAGAGGGAAATTATTTCCCAGTAAAAGTAGGCGTTAGACAAGGATGTGTGATTGATGTCACCGTGGTTGTTTAATATATTTATAGATGGGATTGTAAGAGAAGTAAATGCGAGGGTCTTGGCAAGAGGCGTGGAGTTAAAAGATAAAGAATCACACATAAAGTGGGAGTTGTCACAGTTGCTCTTTGCTGATGACACTGTGCTCTTGGGAGATTCTGAAGAAAAGTTGCAGAGATTGGTGGATGAATTTGGTAGGGTGTGCAAAAGAAGGAAATTAAAAGTGAATACAGGAAAGAGTAAGGTTATGAGGATATCAAAAAGATTAGGTGATGAAAGATTGGATATCAGAATGGAGGGAGAGTATGGAGGAGGTGAATGTATTCAGATATTTGGGAGTGGACGTGTCAGCAGATGGGTCTATGAAAGATGAGGTGAATCGTAGAATTGATGAGGGGAAAAGGGTGAGCGGTGCACTTAGGAGTCTGTGGAGACAAAGAACTTTGTCCTTGGAGGCAAAGAGGGGAATGTATGAGAGTATAGTTTTACCAACGCTCTTATATGGGTGTGAAGCATGGGTGATGAATGTTGCAGCGAGGAGAAGACTGGAGGCAGTGGAGATGTCATGTCTGAGGGCAATGTGTGGTGTGAATATAATGCAGAGAATTCGTAGTTTGGAAGTTAGGAGGAGGTGCGGGATTACCAAAACTGTTGTCCAGAGGGCTGAGGAAGGGTTGTTGAGGTGGTTCGGACATGTAGAGAGAATGGAGCGAAACAGAGTGACTTCAAGAGTGTATCAGTCTGTAGTGGAAGGAAGGCGGGGTAGGGGTCGGCCTAGGAAAGGTTGGAGGGAGGGGTAAAGGAGGTTTTGTGTGCGAGGGGCTTGGACTTCCAGCAGGCATGCGTGAGCGTGTTTGATAGGAGTGAATGGAGACAAATGGTTTTTAATACTTGACGTGCTGTTGGAGTGTGAGCAAAGTAACATTTATGAAGGGGTTCAGGGAAACCAGCAGGCCGGACTTGAGTCCTGGAGATGGGAAGTACAGTGTCTGCACTCTGAAGGAGGGGTGTTAATGTTGCAGTTTAAAAACTGTAGTGTAAAGCACCCTTCTGGCAAGACAGTGATGGAGTGAATGATGGTGAAAATTTTTCTTTTTCGGGCCACCCTGCCTTGGTGGGAATCGGCCAGTGTGATGATAATAATAAAAATTCAGCATTTATTGTCTGTTATGGTTGGGTTTGGGTGAAAAAAGACACAAGTTGTCATCCTCAAATAAAATGGGTTTAAGGAGATTAGATGCATTTGGTAAGTCATTGATGTAAATGAGAAAGAGAAGTGGCCAAGAATGCTTCCCTGTGGGACTCCAACAAGAACAGGTTGTGTCATGGAGCTGGCTCCATTTGTGCTCTATTGTTAAGATAAAATTTTAGGTAATCGAGAGAGAGTGTCCTCTGACCCTGTAATGTTCGAATTTTGGTGCAAAAGGCCATGGTCAACTGTATCAAAAGCTTTTCAATATCAGTGAAAAGTCCCAGGGAAAATTCATTTTTCTCAAGTGCAGAATATATTAGTTCAAGCATATGCGAAATAGCATCATTAGTACTTTTTTTCGATCTGAATCCAAACTGGCAAGGGTTGAGTATGTTGTGGGATACGAAGTAGGAGTAGACTTCTTTGTGAATTAATTTTTCCAAGATTTTAGATAGTAGGGACAGGTTTGATATAGGCCTGTAATTGTTCAGTTCAGTTGGCTCACCTCCTTTGAGGTTCAGGGTGACTCTTGCTGTCTTGAGTATGGATGGGAAGGTGGAGGATTCAATGGATTTGTTAGAGGTGCAATAATAGGTGACAACATATGAGAAGCTTGAGCAAGAGGCTAGTAACCCCTTCTCCTGTATACATTAATAAAGTTAAAAAGAGAAACTTTTGTTTTTCTTTTTGGGCCACTCTGCCTTGGTGGGATATGGCCAGTTTGTTAAAAAAAAAAAAAAAAAAAAAAAAAAAAAAAATGAAGCTTTTTTATACACGAGTGTTAGTAAGTTATTTAGGTCTCCTGTCCTGTTCTTTAGTGTTTTGATAAGTGAGATTTCAGTAGGGTTTGTTGGGGCTAATAGAGTATTTTGGTAGTTGCCAGTGAGGTAGTCTTTTGGTTGAATGTTTGTGCTTGGGATTTTACTTGCTAGTTTTGTTCCTACAGTAGAGAAAAAGATATTAAGTTTGTTGACAGTATCGGTTGGCTGAAGGAGAGGTTCGTTTGGTTTAATTAAGGTAATAATTCTGCTTTGTGACAGCTTTTTAGATCCTAGAATTTCAGATAAGGTTTTCCAGGTCTTTTTCATATAATCTTTTGTCATGAAATCTGTTTTCATAATACAATTTTTTGGACCATATTAGATTGGTTAGTACTGACGAGTAATGTTTTGTGGGATCCTTTGTTATTAGAACCATACACTGTTTTTTGTATAGATGTTTTTTATCAATAGATTTGAGGATGCGTTTGTAAGCCAGGGGCTGTTTAGTCTCTCTGCTGTGATCTTAGTTTTTATTGAGCAATGCATGTTAGAGGTTTGGGTTTTTTGTAAAAAAAAAATATTATCACATTCATCAATATCTAAATTGTCTGCTAGCTTGTTTTGCCAGTGAATGTCACTAAATGCTGAAAAAAGTTATTAACCCCTTGTCTATCGCAACCCCAAATCCTGAGGTCTCCTGGTGTCGCAAAATCCCCCCCCAAAAAAAAAAAAATCTTATGAAAGGATAGAGAATCTTTTCCCGATTGTAATGACACCAAAAGAACGAAATTTGATGGAAAACTGATGGAATTATGCTCTTGCAAATTTAGCAACCTTGGCGATATTTACGAATCGGCAGTTTCGCCTAATTTGAGCCCTATTTTCGGCTAATTCCATTGTTCTAGTTGACCAAACTCATAGCTATTTCTTTAGAACTCCATTTTTTCTATCGATTGAGTACTAGAAACTGCCCATTTACTGATTTCAACTACTCGATAACATGGTCAGAAATTTGCAATTTGGCCCATTTCACGAAAATTAAAAAATATGCCAATTTCAAAATAGGGTCCAGAATGAACAATGCAGACATTCCTGACTCTAAAATAACATTTTATTTGTTCATCAGTCACGTCTCCAGGCCCCTCTGATATTACTCTTGCTTTCTATTTTGAATTTTTATTCAAACAAAAAATATAAGGTTTACTGTTATGCAGACAACTGCAATATTGTAATTGTGTAAATTATGTCAACCCATTCATGACTGCATATTAGAATGGCTACTTGGACATTTATTGGAAAATGACGTCATTTGTTTACTTTTGAACATGGGCAAAAATCAAACATTTCCCCTACTTTGAGCTCCATTTCAAGGTTCTTTTTATAGTAAAACCAATCAAAATCGCCTCTATTTCTATAATATGTTTTCCATTCTAACAAATGAGACCAAGAAAACGAGAATACAACCATAAATACTATATGAAAATAGACCACAAAGTCAGCATTTTAATTAAAAAAAAAAGGTCGTTTTTTTTTTCTCCTTATGCACTGCGTGCTGCAAGATTTTTTTATATGGTGCACACTGACCACACAGACCCATTCAGACCATACTGTTGGAATGTGAACAAGGTAACATTTATGAAGGGATTCAGAGAAACTGGTTAGCTGGACTTAGTCCTGGAGGTAGTAAGTACAGTGCCTGCACTCTGCAGGAGGGGTGGGTATATTGCAGTTTGGAGGAGCATTTGAACTGTAATGTCAGCATGTCTTTGGCAACATGGTGGAGAGATGGTGGGTGTTTTCTTTTTTCGGGTCACTTTGGGCCACCCTACTTCTGTGGGAGATGGCTGGTGTGGCAGAAAATATAAAGGTTATGTACTAGGAATGCACATATGGCCTAATATAATTACCATTGGCTACACAGTATGTCCCCCTGAAAAGAGATTCCTTAATGTCAGTGAGGGGCTCTTGATAAAAGGAACTGAACCTGACCTCTTTTTCCTTGAATTAAACCTAATTATCTCCCATTCATCAGGCATTATATGAGCCCTATGGATTTAGCACTCTCCCATGAATGTAATGATACACTGTATACTTTAGAAATAGTTTCTTCATATTTAAATGTTTAATTAAATGCCATTGGTATCCACAGGTGTCAGCACACAGACAGGCAAGATCTTTCCAGCTACTTTCACTGATAAAGGACCATACCTTGTTCTGCGCTCAACTAGAGTCTTCACTGGTGCACAACAGGTATGTCAGTGGCCCAAGTATTTTTGCAAAGTAAAGTATTTGAATGTAACTTGAGGCATTAGCAGTTAATAATGCAGAAGTTACCAAAGGAATTTGTCAGTTGAATGAAGGAGTGGTAGTTCAAAAAATGAGGTCAATAGGAATAACACAGAAAAATACAGAAATGGATATTAAAATTTATATTATCATTGGGAGCACTAAACCTATAGGGATTATACAGCACCTGTTTGAGGGGGGATGATGGAAGGTATTCAAGCTTAATTCAGGGAATTGGAGCACAAATCCAATTCCCTAGATTAAGAGCCCCCACCAGCATGAAGGAACCTCCCTTGGGGATTAAAATTTATAAAAGATCACAAATTCTTTTATTTGCAAAGCATTAGAAATAGTATTAGTTTTTTTGAGCACTTCAAACATATATTGTTTCTAACATTAACAGATATACACTTTCATTATCAACCTGCAACTGTCATGCCCAATTCACTATCATAGCCATAATTTGTTCCATATCTTTGGCAGAAAGTGTCAACAATGAGTAGTAGTAAACCAAACAAAATTCAGCCGTGGTAAAGTAAAAATTTCAGTACACTGTTGGAAGGTTCTGCCACCTTTAATGCTTTTCGTCATCATAGGAAACAGGTAAAAAACACTAGGAACAGCTTTATATTATTCTTTGCAGATGATACTATTTAAAATCAGCATGAAAATCAGACTAAGTAGAAGACATAAAAAATTGCAGATGGATATTAGAAAAGTCTTTCAGTAGACAAAGGAAAATAAAGAGAAGGCAAAATACCGTGACTGGGATACACACATAACCCACACACATCAGAGAGAAGCTTATGGCGATGTTTTGGTCACCATAAAAATGCAAAACAAACACAGGATATTAAATGTATAATGACATAATGAAAAAAAAAACATACAAAATACAGTACAGTGGACCCCCGGTTAACGATATTTTTTCACTCCATAAGTATGTTCAGGTGCCAGTACTGACCGAATTTATTCCCATAAGGAATATTGTGAAGTAGATTAGTCCATTTCAGACCCCCAAACATAAACATACAAACGCACTTACATAAATACACTTACATAATTGGTCGCATTTGGAGGTAATCGTTATGCGGGGGTCCACTGTACATGTATAGGTATATCTATGTAAGACAACTAATTACAGTGGATCCCTGGATTTCGTCCACACTGGATATCGTACGATTCGGATTTGGACCACTTTTTTGGGCAAAATTTTGTTCTGGATTTCATACCTCATCCCAAAAATTGTCCGCATCACATATGTCTGCCCGCCCGGGACGCCGCCACATGTGCGTATGTGTCTCAGTCTGGCTCTGTCATCCAAAACAATTTGTAGTAATCCATTGTTTTTTGTGCCTGTTTATTGAGTGTGGCTGCAAAATAGGCCACCATGGGCCCAAAGAAAGTTTCTAATGCCAGCCCTTTGGTAAAGAAGTGAGAAACACAAAAGAATTCAAGAAAGAGATTGTAGAAAAATATGAAAGTGGTATATGTACTTGTGGCCGAGCTCGCCAGGATTTATAGCAAGTCCAGATCAACAATCAGTGCTATCCTGGCAAAGAAAGTGGAAATCAAGGAAGCTGATGTTGCAAAAGGGGTGATTAAAGACATTTGTACAAAGTGGAATGAGGTGCAAATTTTTGTGGAAAAATATCACCCTGACCAAGCTGATACAAGCCGTATCTGCAACATGTTCAGTGACAATACCTTGTCCCATTTTAGGCAAATCTTAGAGACACCAGAAACAGAGCTCTCTGGACAGATTTTTAGTGCAACAGGGATCCAGTACCAGTAAAAGACAAAGAAGGGAAGTAACCCCAGATAGGGCTTTGATACCTGAAGTCCTTATGGAGGGGGAGTCCCCTTCCATACAATAACCTGTGCTCCTCCTCATCGTCCATACCCCAACAAGAGTCTTAAATAAAGGTAAGTGTGATGTTAAATGTTCATTTATCCATTTCATTAGTCATTTATATTTCTTTCTCATTGTATTCTGTATGTAAAACTATAGTTATTCTTTAAAAAAAATATAGTTTTTGTTAATATTTTTGGGTGTCTGGAATGGATTAATTGTGTTTACATCATATCTCATGGGAAATATTACTTCATTTTTCACCCATTTCGGATTTAGACTGACCTTCTTGAACGGATTAAGGATGAAATCCGGGGTTCCACTGTATTTAAAGAACAGAAATTGAAAGCAACAAAGGGTCACAAAAATGATAGGTTGGATTATGAGAACTTTCAAAACAAGAGAAGTCATGTCATGGTGGTACTATCCATGAACATAACTTGTGCTCTTGTATCTGGAATGTTCTGTGCCACAGTGCCTTTCAAGGCAGAAAAGTTATCAAAACTGGAAAATTTAGCAATTGTTTTTGGCATGCACAGACTAAATAAAACTTTTCAACTACTGGAAAAATGTCAAAGCACTTCAGATGTGTTCTCCAGGTCAAAGAAGAGAGATTGCTAATAATATAAACAGTTGACTCAATATTACCCCTTTAACAAACTAGAAAGAGATGGGAAGAATGGATTGCTAAGGAAAAAATAATCAGTTTTGCTATACCCATGAGAGCCCAAGTTAAAACTAGAGATAGTCTGGGATGCTTATTTTCTATATCTAATTCTTGTTTTGTTTCAGTGATAAAATTAAAAATATGTACACCAGTGATGGATCCATTGATTGCTACAGATAGTGTTATACTCTCATTTTATAATGCATTAACACCATAAGTGAACATTTAAAATAAAAGATGAAATTTAATGATATGTACTTTGAAAATATGGGTGTTGTTGTTGCATAGCATAGAGGCAAATGATTGGTTGTATCCATGGAAACCATTGCCACACTCTGGCAATGGTTCCTTCCATGCATTGTTCATTGTAACAATTGTAATTTTCCTCTGACCTTTATCAATAAATATTACTGAAGCAGAGATGATTTTGGTTGGAAGTAGGTTGAAATTGAACTCAGAGTAATGGAAACATTTGATTTTTTATAATTTTCTTGAAGACAGGCAAGGTCCACTTACACCCCTCAGTCTGTTTTGTTTTTTTACTAAGACTGATTCAATTACTGGGATGCAGTAAACCATGACCAATCATTCCTCATATTTTATTATCTAAAAAAGAGGGTGAATCTTCAATTTTTTATACCTGGAGAGGGTTCTGGAGGTCAACGCCACCACGCCCCAGTCTGTGATCAGGCCTCATGGTGGATCAGGGCCTGATCAACCAGGCTGTTACTGTGGCCACACGCAACCTGGCGTACGAACCACAGCCCAGCTGGTCAGGTACTGGTTTTAGGTGCCTATCTACTGCCTGCTTGAAGACAGCCAGGGGTCTATTGGTAATCCCCCTCATATTTGCTGGGAGGCAGTTGGACAGTCTTGAGCCCCTGACACTTATTGTGTTGTCTTATTGTGCTAGTGGTGCCCCTGCTTTTCATTGGGGGATGTTGCATTGTCTGCAGAGTCTTTTGCTTTCGTAGGGAGTGATTTTAGTGTGCAAGTTTGGTAAATCCCTCTAGGATTTTCCAAGTGTATATCATCATGTAACTCTCCTGCCTTTGTTCTAGGGACTACAGGTTTAGGAACTTTAAGCATTCAGAGTAACTGAGGTGTTTTATTGCAGTTGTGTGTGCCATGAAGGTTCTCTGTACATCTTGTAGGTCAGCAATTTCACATGCCTTGAAAGGTGCTGTTAGTGTGCAGCAATATTCCAGCCTAGATAGAACAAGAGACCTGAATAGCATCATCATGGGCTTGGCATCCCTAGTTTTGAAGGTTCTCATTATCCATCCTGTCTTTTTTTTTTTTAGCAGATGTGATTGATACAATGTTATGATCTTTGAAGGTGAGATCCTCTGACAGGATCACTCCCAGGTCTTTTACATTAGTTTTTCTCTCTATTGTATGGTCAGAATTTTTTATACTCTGATGTAGTTTTAATTTCCTCACATTTTCCATATCTGAGTAATTGAAATTTCTCATCATTGAACTTCTTATTGTTTTCTGCGGCCCATTTAAAGATTTGGTTGATGTCCGCCTGGAGTATTGTGGTGTCTTCAGTGGAGGACACTGTCATGCAAATTTGGATGTCATTTGCAAAGGCGGACACGGCACGATGGCTTGTATCCCTGTCTGTCAGATATGAGGATGAGGAACAAGATGGGAGTGAGTACTGTGCCTTGTGGAACAGAGCTTTTCACTGTAGCCACCTCAGACTTTACTCTGTTTACTGCTACTCTTTGTGTTCTATTTGTTAGGAAATTATAGATCCGTCTACCAACTTTTCCTGTTATTCCTTTTTCATGCATTTTGTGCACTGTTACACCCTGGTCACACTTATCAAAGGCTTTTGCAAAGTCTGTGTATATTACATCTGTATTCTTTTTCTTTTTTCTAGAGCATCCAGAACCTTGTCATAGTCATAAGTTGATGAATTTAAAATGGAAAGCAAGTGTAATATAGGAGAGGTCTGAGGAAATGTTGCTTTAGTGCCTGGAATGTCTAGTGTTCATTTTGGACACCTTTTTCAATTGTATTTTTTGTATTTTTGTGTAAAATTGGCTGAAATACTGAATTCTATGCACTTTATAGGGTAGCTTTGAAGGCATGCTAGCAAAGTAGCTAAGAATTTAGTTGAATTAAGCATTGGAATTGGCATAAAACAGGACTCAAATTGGACGAAATTGCCAGTGCATAAATTGTGCCCAGACTGTGAACTTTACGCTTGTGTTTTCCATCAAATTTTGTATTTTTAGTGTCACTACTTTCAGAAAAATATTAACTATCATTTTAGAGGATTATTTTTTTAAATGCTATAAAGTGAGCACTTTTAATTTGGGGCTTCTGACATTGAAAGGGTTAATCATGACTAAGCAAGGTAATCATGGCTAAAAAAAAAAAAAAAAAAAAAAAAAAAAAAAAAAAAAAAAAGTATGATACCCTTCAGTGAGGTAACTGGAGCATGGGAGGTTGTTTGTGTAATGGAATGATATGCCTTCTGCTGAAAAAGTGAGATAATCCTAATAGTAACTGAGGTACATTCTAATAGCATTTAGCATTCAGTATGGACTGATGCTTATTTTTTCCCAAATCTATTGCATGCTGTGGCCTCCTATTGTTTTTGTTTTATCCCCTGAAACATGGACTTGGAAAACAATATTTCATTTATGGTTTATTGAAAACTTGCTACTTGGATGCATGTTATGCGAGTCTATTGTAATTTTAATAGTTCCAGCCATGACAGCACCTGTAGAGTGCAGCTCCTTTGCTTTGAAAGAAGTTAAAACTACTCTTGAAGTTCTCAAGGTCGAGAATGATTGCAAAGCTTTGTCCTGTCAGATGAAAAAGGATTATTGCAAAATCTTCAGAACTTTGAAATATATGGAGAAATGCTGAATGTTTACAATATTATTTGGCCAAAATTTTAATATACGTACGTACAGTGGAACCTTCGTTTCTCTGTGCCCTGGTTTTCGTAGAATTCGGTTTTCAATGACTTTTTTTTGTTGCAGTTTTGTCCTAGTTTTCGTACATCCACTTGGTTTTCGTAGTTGACAATGATCTGCCATACCAAATGCGTCTGCCAGCCTGCACCCACACAAAGCATCCCACGCGTTCTGACACTGGCTTTGTTTCTCATTGAGTGAGCATTACCCTGAGCATTCATCCAAAACATTTCTTAATAATCCATTGTTTTTTGTGCTTGTTTGAGTGTGATTGCTAAATAAGTCACCATGGGGCCAAAGAAAGTTCGGAGTGCTAGCTCTTTGATAAAGAAGGCGAGAAACACGATAGAATTCAAGAAAGAACTTGTAGCAAAGTATGAAAGCTGTTGCAAGCCGTGTCTACAACATGTTCAATGACACTGCTTTGTCCCATTTTAGGCAAATCTTAGAGATGCCAGAAACAGACCTCTCTGGACAGATTTTTTGTGCGACAGGGGTTCAGTGACTCGAGCTGGTCCTAGTGCCAGTAAAAGACAGACAAAGGAAGTAACCCTGGATAGGGCCTTGATACCTGAAGTCCTTATGGAGGGAGATGCCCCTTCCTAACAATAACCTCTCCTCCTCCCTCTCCCCGCCTCACCATCTTCCATACACCAACAAGTCTTCAATAAAGGTAAAACTGATGTTAAATGTTCATTTATCCATTTCATTAGTCATTTACATTTATTTCTCCTTGTTTTCTGTATGTAAAACTATAGTTATTCTCTATAAAATGTATTTTTTGTTAATATTTTTGGATGTCTGGAACAGATTAATTGGATTTACATTATTTCTCATGGGAAATATTTCTTCAGTTTTCGTACAGTTTGGTTTTCGTCAGACTTTCTGGATCAAATTAATTACAAAAACCAAGGTTCCACTGTACATAGTAATAAGTTAGGAAAGGTGCTAAAAAGAGCTACAAAATGGCTATTATTATTATTTTTATAATCATAACTAAGCACTAAACCCACAAGGGTCATACAGCAGATGGCTATTAAGATAGGAGGAAAGAGATATCATAACCACAAATAAGGTTATGAAAGGCTTTGAAACATTAAAGATGATTTCTGTCACTGCAGCTGGGATAACAAAAGGCCACAGCTGGAAATTGAGAAAAAGGTGGAGCCAAAGTGATGAGAGAAATTATTTCTTTGTAAATAGGGTAGTTAACCATTAGAATTAAAGCAGGAGGTAGTAAGTGCTACAACTATTGGAAATTCTAAAAAAGATATATTTTTTTTTTTCACACACCAGCCATTTCCCATCAAGGTAGGATGATCTGAAAAAGAAGAAACATTTTCACCATCATTCATTCAGTCATTGTGGTGTCAGAAGCATGTAAAAGTTGGTACCCAAACTAAGCACAGAAAGGTGATGTTCCTAGAGAAATGTGGAGAGCCTCATTTAGAACTTCACCATCTGATACAAATACTTTTGTCATTAATTTGGGTAGGCCATCTGAGCTGTGCTGGCATCACGTCAGATGGCTCTCCAAACTGCCATATCCCCACCCCTTCATCAGAGTACAGGCACTGTATTTACCACCTACAAGGCTAAAGTCTAGTTAACTAGTTTCCCCTGAATCTCTACATAAATGTTACTTTGCTCTCACTCCAACATCATATAAAATGTGTACGAATGGTATATAATACCGACAAGATGAGATTAAGACACATGTGCAACATCTGGGTATCTTTATTACGTCTACAATAAAGATACCCAGATGTTGCACATGTGTCTTAATCTCATCATATAAAATCATGAAAACCACTTGCCTTCACTTCTATCTAACATACTCCCACAAGCTTGTTGGATGCCCAAGCCATTAGCACTCAAAACTTTTACCACTTTATAAGTAAATTATCAAAAGCAAAAATGCTAAATATTTGGCATTATTTTTTTATACTATAGCATCAGTTTGGATAAATGTTCAGAATACTGAAGAGTTCTAATAGTTTCTTTATTAATCCACTGTATTTTAACAGCCGTTAAATAATTTTTATTTTTTTATCAGATGGTTGATATATACGACTGTGCTCTGGGGTTATTACGGATTGGACCTTTTAACTATGAACCTCATGCTGGTGTGGAACTACTACTACAACAAACAGATGATGTCATCCTTCAGTGTCTCTCTACAACACCAGAAGTTGAAGAACCAAGCTGGGTCAAAATGGTAAGTTTTGTAATATTACTCTATTCAGTTTCGAACTTATATTTTATAGTATTTTATACAGTAGACCACCACATTTTACACCTCCAAGTTCCGTGTTTGTCTTCGCAATTCATGTTTTGTACTTATTTCCACATTTTTGCCTCCAAAGTTTGCCACCTGTCATGGTGTCTTAACTATTGTTGTTGCATAGATGGGCCAATTATGTCAAACCAGTCAGCATAGATGACTGAGGAATTATTTGTTGACTGGTTCAAGCATCATTTTATTAATGAAGTCATGTTTTATTTGCGCTGCAACAACCTCGTATGCAAGATTCTCCCAACTCTTGATAATTCCCATTCTCATCCTGATCTGTTGCAGGATTTGAACCCAAATGTTTTTTTTTATTTTTATCATGCAACCACTGGATCAAGGTGCAATAAAATCATTTAAGTGTATCTACAATGCAGAGTGGGGGCAGAAACTGCTTGCATCAATGGACAATGACTCAGAGCTTGGAGCATCAGAGTTATGGCATAAATTCAACTTTGCAGATGCCTTACCCGACATCAAAAGGGTATAGGATAATATTCCAAAATCATCAATAAATGCAGGCTGGATAAAATTATGGCTTAGCGTGGTGAATAATTTCACAGGGTTTCTCTTAGTTGAGAGTCATGTTGAGAAAATTGCTCAGCTGACAAGGAGATTACCATGTGAGGGCTTGGAAGATGTGCAGCCATAACATGTCACTGAAGATAAAGAGGAAGAAAGAAGTCCAGAGGAAATGTTGGCAGAGCTGAATTCCCAGATAGAAGAGACTCAGAGTTGGAGGATGAGGAAGAACAGCTTGCAAAGAAATTGTTAGTAGAGTACTTCAAAAATTATGAGCATTTCCATGTTGCTGTTGAACTTGCTAACTTTTTCACTGAAGAGGACCCAGACACATCTAGAAGCACTGCTTAGAAATGCATGTTGGGCCAAACAATGATGCCATATCATCAGCTGTATAAAGTACTGCAGGGTAGTACACAGCAGACACACATGACAGGATACTTCAATGTTCCATTGACTTCAGTCCATAAACCACAGCCATCCACTTCAGCAAGTGATCCCCAGTCATCCACTTCAGCCCATTAACACCAGCCATCCATTTCGGGCCATGAACACCAGCCATCCATTTCGGTCCATGAACACCAGCCATCCATTTCGGTCCATGAACACCAGCCATCCATTTCGGTCCATGAACACCAGCCATCCATTTCGGTCCATGAGCACCAGCCATCCATTTCGGTCCATGAGCACCAGCCATCCATTTCGGTCCATGAGCACCAGCCATCCATTTCGGTCCATGAAGCACACACAGCCATCCATTTCGGTCCATGAGCACCAGCCATCCATTTTGGTCCATGAGCACCAGCCATCCATTTTGGTCCATGAGCACCAGCCATCCATTTTGGTCCATGAGCACCAGCCATCCATTTCGGTCCATGAGCACCAGCCATCCATTTCGGTCCATGAGCACCAGCCATCCATTTCGGTCCATGAGCACCAGCCATCCATTTCGGTCCATGAGCACCAGCCATCCATTTCGGTCCATGAGCACCAGCCATCCATTTCGGTCCATGAGCACCAGCCATCCATTTCGGTCCATGAGCACCAGCCATCCATTTCGGTCCATGAGCACCAGCCATCCATTTCGGTCCATGAGCACCAGCCATCCATTTCGGTCCATGAGCACCAGCCATCCATTTCGGTCCATGAGCACCAGCCATCCATTTTGGTCCATGAGCACCAGCCATCCATTTTGGTCTATGAGCACCAGCCATCCATTTCGGTCAATGAGCACCAGCCATCCATTTCGGTCCATGAGCACCAGCCATCCATTTCGGTCCATGAGCACCAGCCATCCATTCGGTCCATGAGCACCAGCCATCCATTTCGGTCCATGAGCACCAGCCATCCATTTCGGTCCATGAGCACCAGCCATCCATTTCGGTCCATGAGCACCAGCCATCCATTTCGGTCCATGAGCACCAGCCATCCATTTCGGTCCATGAGCACCAGCCATCCATTTCGGTCCATGAGCACCAGCCATCCATTTCGGTCCATGAGCACCAGCCATCCATTTCGGTCCATGAACACCAGCCATCCATTTCGGTCCATGAACACCAGCCATCCATTCGGTCTATGAACACCAGCCATCCATTTCGGTCCATGAAACCACCATCCATTTCGGTCCATGAACACCAGCCATCCATTTCGGTCCATGAACACCAGCCATCCATTTCGGTCCATGAACTCCAGCCATCCACTTACCCCATGAAGCACAGCCATCCAGTTCAACCAGTGAATGCCAGCCATCCACATTAACCCACGAATGCTAGCCATCCACTTCATCCAGCATGCCCCAGCCATCCACCTCATCCAGCATGCCCCAGCCATCCACCTTATCCAACATGCCCCAGCCATCCACCTCATCCAGTATGCCCCAGCCATCCACCTCATCAGCATGCCCAGCCATCCACCTCATCCAGCATGCCCCAGCCATCCACCTCATCCAGCATGCCCCAGCCATCACCTCATCCACATGCCCAGCCATCCACCTCATCCAGCATGCCCCAGCCATCCACCTCATCCAGCATGCCCCAGCCATCCACCTCATCCAGCATGCCCCAGCCATCCACCTCATCCAGCATGCCCCAGCCATCCACCTCATCCAGCATGCCCCAGCCATCCACCTCATCCAGCATGCCCCAGCCATCCACCTCATCCAGCATGCCCCAGCCATCCACCTCATCCAGCATGCCCCAGCCATCCACCTCATCCAGCATGCCCCAGCCATCCAACTCAACCGGTGAACCTCTGCTATCTAATTCATCCACTTCATTCACCTTATCTGAGGCCTAGTAGAGCCACACTACACCTCTCCATTGACGACAAGCGAATTAAGCAGTAACAACCAGAATTTGTTTGGTTAAATCATCATGTTACACTAGTTATAATAAGATGATTTAATATACCTTTGCTATCTGCTTAACTCTTAATATTGTACATTACTTAGTTTATTATTTTTGGTGATTTACATATTTCTAAGAAAAGTTGTTTGGCTCTTCTGGAGGTACCATACAGCACAGCCTGTTTTTTTTTCATGTAAGTTGTTCACTCCCTCTATTGCATTTTCACATATAACTCTTGTTTTTTCTGGAATGTATCTCATGTGAAATGTGGTTGTCTACTGTACTACTTGTTATAGCTGTTTGGTTAGGTAGCTGAATATGCTGGAGCAATAGCATGGAGGTTACATATACACCTGTAGACTAGAGTTTGGCTTTGTTGTCTAGTGGGTACACCAGGCAGATGTGAGTAGGGTAACCAGAGCCAAGATATCTAGGAAAAGGAGCTCTGATGTTGACTCCAGGTTAGCTAGGCAAGGTCTGAGGATGAGCACTCTAAGCAAGGCAGACCTAAGTGCCTGGCCTCTGCCAAGCACTTGCCAAAACTAGGCTGTAGGTCAGCAGTGACCCCAGTGGGAGGTATGTGAAACAGATGAGTAGGCATACTGTCTACATTTTGCTCAGTCACACACTTTGGGGCATCTTAACAGCGCCTGGTGTGCAAGAATTTAAAATCTAAATACAGTGGAACCTCGGTATGCAGCCTTAATTCATTCCAGAAGGCTGTTTGAGTGTCGCTCCGTTTGAGTGTTGAACAAGTTCTTCCCAACCAATTTTTGTTTGGTTGGCTATTATCACTAATCGCCTTTAGGCCCTGTTACAAAAAACGCGATGTCTAATAAGCATAGAGATCTCCAGTGAATACTAGAAAGGACTGCCCTTCTAGCATCCAGCCTGTTACTGGGTTTTTGCAACAAGTAGTCAGTATCCTGGTCCAATTATCCATTAGAATTTAATAGTAAGATTCAATAGTGCTTCAGGATTACAACTGGTAGGCTACTAACTAAAGAAATTAAAATTTAAGAAGTTTATTAATAAAGATAAAGTTGTTTAGGTGGACAATATCAAAGTAAATCAAAGTAATCTATTTAATATAATATAGGATACAAATTCCTACACTGCTTTCATGTACAGTAGTATTGTGTTGAAGGCACAGATCATATCTTGATGGCTTTTAAGTACTGTCTGGTACACTGTCAGCATTTAAGAACATAATACTAATACAGTGGACCCTCGACCAATGATATTAATCCGTTCCTGAGAGCTCATCGTTAATCAAAATTATCATTAGTAGAGTTAGTTTTCCCCATAAGAAATGAAAATCAAATTAATCCGTGCAAGACAACCAAAAGTATTGAAAAAAAAAAATTTTTACCACATGAAATATTAATTTTAATACACACAAACTGAAGAAGACATGTACAATTACATGACACTTACCTTTATTGAAGATCTGGTGATGACTGATGGGATGGGAGGAGGGGAGACTATTGATGGTGTTAGTGTTTAGAAGGGGAATCCCCTTCCATTAGGATTTGAGGTGTCAAGTCCTTTTCCGGGGTTACTTCCCTTCTTCTTTTAATGCCAGTAGGACCAGCTTGAAAGTCACTGGACCTCTGTCGCACAACATATCTGTCCATAGAGGCCTGTACCTCCCATTCCTTTATGACATTCCTAAAGTGTTTCACAACATTGTCAGTGTCACAATTAAACACTTGTTCAGGTTTCAATTCTTCACTGTCTATGTACTCCTTGAATTCCTGCACATATTTTTCAGCTGCTTTTTGGTCCAAACTGGCAGCCTCACCATGCCTTTTCACACTATGTATGCCACTACGATTCTTAAATCTCTCAAACCAACCTTTGCTGGCCTTAAGTTCACTCACATCACCACTAGTTGCAGGCATTTTTCTAATTAAATCCTCATGCAACTACCTAGCCTTTTCACATATGATTGCTTGAGGGATGCTATCTCCTGCTATCTGTTTTTTGTTTATCCACACCGATAAGTCTCTCAACATCTTCTATCACTTGCGATCTCAGTTTTGAAAACATAGTTGCACCTTTGGCAAGAACAGCTTCCTTGATTGCCGTTTTCTTGGCCACAATAGTAGCGATGGTTGATTGGGGTTTTGTGTACAACCTGGCCAGCTCGGAGACACACACTCCACTTTCATACTTAGCAGTGATCTCTTCATATCCATAGTAATTCTCACCCTTTTTGCTGTAAGGTTGGCACTAGAAGCTTTCTTGGGGCCCATGGTGACTTATTTTGCAGGTGCAATCACTAAAAACGCTGTGATAATATGAAATGTTCCAATTGTATGTTTGGATGGGACCGTGGTGGCTGGCTGGCTTGTAAACACTGGCCACAAGTGGACGGGTCTCAGATGGAACGAATCGTGTTGGTCGAGGGTCCACTGTATATACAAGTGAGTATGTATGTGTGTAAGTGCTCCGAGTAGTTTGCTATGTCTCAAGACTTGACTCGACTTAACCAGTGACTGATTGAAGTCCTCACATAAACTAACTTTTTGACCAACCTGGCAATCAGAACAGCTTGCTTGAACAGTAAAATGGCCGATTTGCCAAACAGCAATATAACCAGCAGCAGCAACACAGAATCAGGAACAAGGAGATAACATAACGACCCTAAGTAGGGACCATCTGCAGATCCTCCACAAAAGTCGCAAAACTCCCATACTACTGAATCTAAGTTCAGCATAGGAAAATCCCCGACTGTGACAGTGCACAGATACCAATACAAATTAGGTCAAAAGCTACAGCTCAGGACCGGAATTTCTCAGTGTCAGTGTGACACACAACCTCAGTAAAACATTGAAAATCACTAAGGCTAGGCTATGTTCTGTGAACAGAGTTACACAGAACTAACAACAAGAAAGTGACAGATGATGTTCCAACAAGGGCCAGCAAGGGAGAGCTGGAGAGGGAGGTGTTGTTGGAATCATCGTCAAACAGAGAGAGAGAGAGAGAGAGAGAGAGAGAGAGAGAGAGAGAGAGAGCTAGTGAAGGCAAGGCACTCCTCTCGCCCAGGTGAGGTGTGATCATCCCACCCTGATCACGTGACTCTCCGTGGACTGCTGCTGCCCAGCAACTACAGAGAAGCTGGCAGCGAAACGAGCAGAGTGGTAGTTACAGTAGTTAGACAATGCAGCAGCTACTTAATGCTCTCGAGCAATGAGCACTGAATAAGGTGTAAATGTTACATCCTACCTAATAATATAACTAAGTCAAATAATGATACAAAGCAATATATTTACGATTTAGCTAATATCGCAGATATCAGCAATATAAAATTATAGGAACAGGTAATATACATTATATACATTGTGGCCCATTCAGGGGTTGCAATAGGCCCCATGGTGACTTATTTATACAAATACAAAAAAATAAAAAGCATAGAAACGTGAAATAGTTTACAGCAAAGTTCTGGCAGGTCATTTGCTTTGTTCAAGTAGGGAGCTGGTCGTATACCGAGGTTCCACTGTACACCCATGGAACTCAGCTTTGGCTTACTCTTTTACAAAAATGGTCAATTTAATGGGCCTCAAAAACTCTTCCCACATCTTCGGTGGGAGAGAAAATCGGCATGCCACTCTGCATTGTGATGGATGGGGCCATGGGACATCAAGACAGTGCTGAAGCATAAATCTTCTCATGTACAGTTTGTTCATAGGACTGCACAGAACATCGGGCATTGTCTGTACATCAAGGGACATTGATCCAGTTGTAAAACAATGACTGGCAGTAGCATTTCTTAGGGTGTGACACGTGACATGAACACTACTCTGGCCTGTAACACACACTGCATGAGATAAACTTGCAAAGGAATTAATATGGAAATACTATGGGTACCCTTATACACAACATACTACTTATACATACATACATGGTGTAGTCCATCCTGATTCCGTTATTTGAGCTTTTAACTAACTAAAGCGAACACAGGCATAGTCTAATGGCCTGCACACCTGATTGCAGCACCATAACCAAGGTAGGAACAAGCAAAATGCAGCAGAGTAAATACTTACATTTCCTTCACCAAACAGCAAGCAAGGTATGTACAAATGATATGTACAGTAAGTCAATACAGGCAATAGACATGTGAGAACCGTTTATGACCAGGCTTGAAGGTAAGTGTGATAATATTTGTGAGTGTCCCACATTGCTTCATAACTTTGGCAGGCTTCCTTGTCATTGGGGGGTTGAACCAAAGGGTAAAGCCCTTCTTATTATTCCCTTAGCACCTGGTTTGCTGGTCAGGAGGGCAAGCCTATATGGGTGTGACATACATCGAATAAATTGTAAGATACTTTTAGCATGCCACAGCTTTTAACTAACTATAAAGCATACGAGTGTTGATGCCCATTTCAGCAAGAAGATGGTGTAGTTAGCAAAGGAGTCAGACAAGTCAATAGGCGTGTCAGTTCACAGAAATGTACTGCTGCCCTAGATCTCAGACCATAGGAATGTAGTTGGACAGTCATTGGTCATATCAGGAGAGGTAGGAATAGTAGACAGGTTGTCGCTTGTGTCGGTTTGGTTGTGCTGTTGCAGTGCACCCTCCTATAGCTCAGCCTCAGCTTGCACACTGTCCTTGTATTTCATGTGGTCAAAGTGAGCTTCCTTAATTGTTCCAATGGCTGCATAGTATAAGCAAGACATGTTAGAATTACTTGTGACAACACAGTAGATGTAGTAAGGGCTGTGCCCCAGACAGATATAAATATTGTTTAAACATCACTACTACTTCGTACTTAGTTGAGGATATCCATGCTAGTGTAGTCTTTGCCATTAAGATGATACATCAAAATCTGTAGTCATCAGTGTGCATCTTTGTTGTAACTGTCAAAGTAACTTTGAGAGAAGTGAGTAATTATTATTAAATCCATAATGAATCATTTAAACCTCAGTCATACAGTACCTGAGTTAAGGTAAGGGTTCAGGGGTAAGCAGATTTTATCTGAGGGAAGGGCAGCTCCAATTCTTTGGATCAGGAGCAATTTACAAGCATGAAGTGACCCACCTTGAAGGGAGCAGTGAATAATACTCCATCAGTGTAAAAAAAAAAAAAAAAAAAAAAAAAAAAAAAAAATGGAATTTGTGTATGGCACTTGAGGAAACACCTGAGGGGTGGGGTAAGTAAGAATTGTTTAATCCACTCAGTATCTTTTGGAATAATATGTGGAAACGCTAGGTAATATTATGAATCAGAGATGCTGCAATATTATTATGGCCTGATAGTATTATCAAGAAGTGCTAAAACTGTAGGGGTCATACAGCTCTAGGGGAATGGGAGGTAATTGGGTTCAGTCAAAGGAAAGTGCAGGTCTAATTCCTTGGATCAAGAGTCATTGAAGGGTTATCGCATTTTTTTTTCTTCTTCAACAAACCAGCCATATCCCACCAAGGTAGGGTGGCCCAAAATGAAAGTTTTTCTTTTTAAATTTAGTAATTTGTGCAGGAAAAGGTGTTACTAGCCCCTTGCTCCCGGCATTTTAGTCACCTCTTACAACACGCATGACTTACGGAGGAAGAATTCTGTTCCACTTCCCCATGGAGATAAGAGGAAATAAACAAGAACTATTTTCTGAAAGAAAATAGAAGAAAACCCAGAGGGGTGTGTATATATATGCTTGTACATGTATGTGTAGTGTGACCTAAGTGTAAGTAGAAGTAGCAAGACAGTAACTGTAATCTTGCATATTTATGAGACAGACAAAAGACACCAGCAATCCTACCATCATGTAAAACAATTACAGGCTTTCGTTTTACACTCACTTGGCAGGATGGTAGTACCTCCATGGGTGGTTGCTGTCTACCAACCTACTACCTACAAGTGACTTAATATAGTTAATAATCTATCAGAGACTCTGTGTAATAAATCTTTAAAATATGCTTAATAAAGTAACAAGCCAAAGTTAATCCAATTTGTCTTTTAGGTCCGGGAAGTGTTAAAACACATCAAGGAGCATCCATTCCCTGCCGTCACAATATTCCCAGACAACAGGCCTCACTATTTCCGTCGAGACAACTTGGGAGCATGGACTCCTGCAGAGCTCCCTAACAACAATGATTCTACCCCTGATGCTAATGTTCAGGCAGCAGTTCAGGCTGTTGCTGGAGCTGCAGTTGCTGCCACAGGAGCCTGGACACAGGCAGGAGTCACAACAACATCAGCAGCACCTACACCAGCTGCTCTTTCCCCTGCTCCTTGGGGTGCTTCTGTACCTCCCAGGTTAGTACTGCAAACAATATTTAAATTCAATATTTGTTTTGTTTTTTATACAACAAACCTCATATGGCATTTCATTTCAGATCATGCATTTTGCCTGGTTTGGACTTTGTTGAATTAAGTTTGAATCATTTGAGGAGTACATGATTGTTTTCTAATTTGGTTTGATGATGTTTCTTGAGTATAACCACTTTTCACTGGCTTGTCATAAAAATCCAACTTGTTCACAAAACACTGATGTTTGATAGTAGCAACAGTCAGTTCATACTTTCTAGTCCATGCACTAAGAATGGGCAACTCTTGGGCCCCTAAAACTATCTCTACTGTTTTTCTTGTAACACATTTGCATAAAGTAATCCTCATTAATATTGATATTTCCTAGGATAAATTAAATCAACAGCTATTCAGAAGTACCAATATTTATCACTTTATGCATTTGCTAAGAGGACATGAAACTTACACTGACAACAATAAAGATAGTGAAATAATGATTAATGATTTATAATACAGCTCTGTGTTAAGTGAGTCATTATCTGTCTGAAGATTGACAACCAGAATGAGTTTTTTCTTGAGCGAGACTCGAAACATGGTCGACATCTCCATAATTTCTGACTTAACCCTAACCCCAACTCATCTTCGAAAAATCACTGATAGCATTTCCCCAAACTGCCTTAGACTCTGACTTGGAAGAACTCAATATTTGTCAAGAACTGCAAGAAACCAGTATCCTGCACCTTGAATATGCTCTGGAGGGGCAGCCTGGACACAGAAATCACACAAAATAAGTGCAGATCAGTAGTGTTGGCATCCCACATTACTGCTCATTGTGATTAGCAAGATTGCTAATCACACTGAATATCATCCACTGAAAACCCAGGGAAGCATAGTTTAGAGCAGGTCGTGCTCCTGCCTCTTGTAATTATTTGACTGTTACCACATGGCCTTAGATGCAATGGAAGACAAGCAAAATGCAGATTTTCCAAAAGATTTGATATGTGGAATCAAAGTGGGTGCAAAAGAAATAACTGGAAAAGTGGGCAGATGAATGTTTAATTTTCTCAGATAGGATTCAAAGAGTAATAGTGAACTGAGTGAAATCAGATGGTGCCATAGTGAACATTTCTGTTCCCAAGACAAAGTACTTGCTCCTTTTCTCATTCTCATATCTGACATAGACAGAGTCATAAATCCTTCACAGATTATACTAAATTTTATATGAGAATGGCATCCATTGAGGACATAGCAATCTTCCAAACTGGCAAAGTCTTCCAGTCAGCCACTGACAACAGTGATATTCAATGAGGACAAGTTTCAGCTACTCCATTTTGAAAAGATTGAAGAAATAGACTAGAACAGAACATAAAGGCGATTAATTCTTTGACTTTCGCAAGCCCCTTTCTGAAACTGTCATTCTATGTCGAAAAATTTTTGGAAAAAAAAAAAAAATATATTTTCTTATGAAATGATAGAGAATCTTTTCCCGATGGTAATGACACCAAAAAGGACGAAATTTGGTTGAAAACTCATGGAATTACGCTCCCGCGAAGTTAGCAGTCTCGGCAACATATATGCATCAGCGATTTCGCCGACTTTGAGCCCTATTTTTGGCCAATTCTGTTCTAGTTGACAAAACTAGTAGCTATTTCTTTAGAATTTCATTTTTTTCTATCACTTGAGTACAAGAAACTGCCCATTTACTGATTTAACTACCCAATAAAGTGGTCAGAAATTGGCAATTTGGCCAATTTCATGCAAATTAAAAAAGATGCCAATTTTAAAATAGGGTCCAGAATAAATAATGTAGACATTCTTGGCACTAAAATAACATACCCTCTGTTCATTAGTCATGTCTCTAGGCCCCTCATATATTACTATTGCTTTCTATTTTGATTTTTTATTCATACAAAAAATAGAAGATTTACTGTTATGCAGACTACTGCATTATTGTAAAAATGGTATAAATAATATCAGTGCACTAGTGAAAGAATATTAAACTCCCCATTTGACGTATATTGGACGTGTGGTGTGATTTGCTTACTCTTGAACATTGGTAAAAAATCGAACATTTCTGCTACTTTGAGCTCAATTTCAAGGTTGTTTTCTTTGTGAAACTAATCAAAATACTCTTTATTTCTATAACGTGTTTTTCATTTTATCACACGAGACCATGAAAACTAGAATACAACGATAAGTACTACACGAAAAACACCTCAAAGTCGACATATAAATAAAAAAAAACGGTTTGAGTTTTTTTTTCTCATTATGCACTGTATGCTGCAGGATTTTTATGTGGTGCACACAGACCCATTCTCTCACATGTGGGCCTACCAGCTTTCTCCTGCTTGATTTGAAGCCACTAGAATTATTGAGTATATATACGTCCGAAACACTGGCTCGTAAGACATATATATACGACAAAACAGTCAAAGGGTTAAAATGCCAAGAGCAAGGGGCTAGTAACTGCTTCTCCTGTATATACAGTGGACCATCAGTTATTGGCTGTTCTGGATATCGACCAGTTCGGTTTTCGCCCGCTTTTTTGGCCGAAATTCTATCCTGGTTATCGGCCGTTATTTCAGAGATCGGCTGTATTGGACGCATCCACCTGCCACGTTCATGAGTCAGTCTGGCTGTGTCTCTGGGTAAGTGAGGAAGCCTCCGTGCATTCATCCAAACATTTCATTATAATCTATTGTTTTTTGTGGTTATTGATTGAGTGCAACTGCGAAATAAGCCACCATGGGCCCTTTTGTAAAGGGCTAAGAGAGAGGGGAGAATGTGGCTTCTTCGGTGAGTCAGTGATTCTTTGATATGTATGATACTAAAGCAGCAGGAGTTGATAAAGGCTATAACGCCAGCCACCGATAAAGTGTAGCATTAACACTATAGCTAGTAAGTTAAGCGATATAAAAAAGGATGACACAAAACTCTTCCAATGTTGTTGGAGATATATAGAGCCACTGACAACATATGCCACCCTGCATATCTTCCACCACCCTAAACTTTTGCCAGCATCTCAATAACCACTTAAGTTCTTTACAGTCTCCATGATAACCACTATTTCTTTACATTCTCTCTTATGTTTTTATACAACTGCGAACTTAATTCATTCCAGAAGGCTGTTCGAGCGCCGCTGCTGAACGAATTTCTTCCCATAAGGAATAACGTAAATGAGATTATTCTGTTTCAGACCCCTAAAAATACACTTACAAAAAATATACTTTCATAATTGTTAAAGTTGGGAGCTGTTCGAAACTCTAAGTACCACTGTATTTCTTGTTTATAAATTTCGTACATTGTTTGTGTGACTAGTGGTGTGACCAGTAGTGGCTGCTGCTGCCGCCGCCACCACCACCACTATATGGCTTATGCTGTCAGTGGCCCTTATAAACCCAACAACAGCCACACCACCACTAGCCACATATGTAATGACACATTTTATTCATTCTAGAGTATGTATCATGTTTCTATGTTATTAATATTGTTTATCATGTCATATTAGAATTGTGATAGATAAATAAGCCATAGAGTTGATATTATTGCCAACAAGAATCTTCAATAAAGGTAAAAGTGATGTTAAATGTTCATTTTTCCATTTCATTAGTCATTTTATATAGTTCTCATTGTTTTGTGTATGTAAAACTGTAGTTAATCTTTAAAAAAAGTATTTTTTGTTAATATTTTTGGGTGTCTGAAAGATGGATAGCATTTACATTACTCATGAAATTGTAATAACACGATTGCAAACAAACCATACCACGGGTGGGGTTTGAACCTGTGGTCAGTCTCTCAAAACTCCAGACCATCGCTTTAGCTATTGGGCCAGCTAGCTTCAATAAGATTCGTCCAACAAAGTATATTTCAACACCATAGGAAGGTTAGCATAGGCACCACTGTACCTAGTTGGATGAATCTTATTGAAGCTAGCTGGCCCAGTGGCTAACACGACAGTCTGGAGTTTTTAGACACTCTGCCTGCGGGTTTAAACCCCACCCGTGGTATGATTAGTATTTACATTAACACTCTTGGGAAATATTATTTCTGTTTTCGGCCTTTTCGGATTTAGGCCGACCTTCTGGAATGGATTATGGCCAATAACCAAGGGTCCACTGTATTACTAAATTTAAAAAGGGAAACTTTTGTTTTGCTTTTTGGGCCACCCTGCCTCTGTGGGATACAGCCAGTTTGTTGAAAGAACAGAATATAAAACAAACTCGAGTTACTCAATTAAGCATAAGACTAACATGAGACTTAGGAGTGATCATGTCAGATCTCGCCTTCAAGTATCACAACAGTGTCACTATCACAATTGCAAGGAAAAATGAGAGGCAGGATAACTAGAATTTTCTAAACATGGGATGCCAAGACAAGGATGATACTTCTTTACTTGTTCTCTCTAGGTTGGCATACTAGTTTACTCCAGTAGCTCTGTTTAACCCCTAAACGGTCCAAACGTATATATACAGTGGACCCCCGGTTTACGATATTATTTCATTCCAGAAGTATGTTCAGGTGTCAGTACTGACCGAATTTGTTCCCATAAGGAATATTGTGAATTAGATTAGTCCATTTCAGACCCCCAAAGATACACATACAAATGCACGTACATAAATACACTTACATAATTGGTCGCATTGGGAGCTGATCGTAAACCAGGAGTCCACTGTACTTTGTAATTTTCCTGCCTCCAAATTTGGCACGATTGCCCTGAGATGCCTGGTCAGCATAGAATGGGTCTTAACACTCGGTGTGCACCATATTAAAAAAAATCTGGGACAACTTAGTACCTTGTGCTCTTTTTTTCTATATTTTTTTTTTTTTTTTTTTCAAAATATTTGGGGCGCTGCGCAAGTGAACATATATAAGTACGTTTGGACCGTTTAAAGGTTAAGGCAGATGAAAATTGACCTGAATAATGTACAGAGAAACTTCATTGCTTACATAAATTCAGTCACACCTAAATTATTGGAAATACTTGAAATCCCTCAATTTATACTCCTTGA